ACCAGGGAGCGGCGGCCCTTCCCTCTGCAGTGCAGACTGGGCTTGCTGGGGTGCGCAGCCCAGCTGGAGCCCCAGGCCCCCTGCAGGCTTTGATGTTATATGTAGCACACACCTACCAAACTCCTATTCCCCCTCAGACCAGGCTGCCTAGAAAGCTCCGAGTCAAGTTTCCCCGAATAGAATATGCAGATCCTCTCTGGCTTCCGGTGACTTTTGTTACTCTGGGTTTCTTTTTCCCCAATTATCTCACTTATTTTTCGTCTTATCATACGTGCTTTTTGTAAACCACCTCAAGTCCTTTTTGGAATAACATGGAGAACACACAACACCCTTTGGAGTGTCCTCCTCCCCTCCCTTCATGCCCCCTGTGCCCGGCACAGCTTTGCCTGAAAAACCCCTGGAAGCTGAGTGAAAAAACCCGCAAATGAACTTGGCAAATGAACTTGTGCGGGGCAGCAGTATCTGCATAAGAGCAGGGGAGGGGCAGAGTCAGGATTCAAGGCAGCAGGATCCCCAAAGACAACAAGGTCGCTCCCCGGGTTCACACTTGCGTGATGGCCCTACCCGGACACCCCTACTGGACACGCCACCCCTTGCTGCCCATCAGGAAGATGCTCCTGCGCTGCCCCGGCCGGCCCACCCTTCAAGACGCAGCCCACTTCCAGACCCCGCCCACTTGCAGACCCCAGACGCCTCGTAGGCCAGACCACCCCTTCCCGCTTGCCCACCTCCCTGAGCAAGCTTTCCCAGGCAGTCACCCCAGTGGGCACGACCACTTCCACTCTGGCCCTCAGTGTTTCTGAATGGGACTGAGGTTTTGCGTTTTCAGGAGGGCTGGTGCCCTCGTAATGAACCAGGGTGCATTACAGGCTTCTTACAGGCAGGATGGGGAACTGGAGTGGGCCGGGGCACCCAAACAGCTGCGGCCAGACCTGCCTGGACATCCCGATTGCTTACGAAGCCAGGGGCGCCTGGGAAGCCAGGAATCCCCCTCCCTGTCCTGAACCTGAATTCCCACCCTCTCATGGCCAAGAGGTCAACAGGGCAAAGAAGGAAGTGCACTGAGATGGGGGATCTCTCTGGGCTGCAGTTGCCCCAAAGTTGGAATTCAGGGAGGAAGCAAGAGCTGCTCAGAGAAGACGGAAGCCGCTAAGTGGACAAGGCCCCAAATTTATGCCTTGTTAATAAGAACCACCTGACAGGCTCTGCTGTCTATTCAGGAGGGAAACATTTCATTATCATTTGAAGCATTTCCTCTGGAAACATGCGTTCTGGATTACTAGTTCTCTGTGCCGAATTTACCAGCCAAGCAGCCCAGAGGAGGGGGTGGGGGAGGGGAGGGCCGGGGCTGGGGACATCTCCAAGACCCAAAGGGGCGCTCCTCTGCCCCTGGGCTGGCTGCTGCTGGACAGGACGGGAGGAGCCTGCCGGCTCAGCCTGCCACCCTGCGCCCTCCCACACACAGGGCGGTTCAGCAGCTCGGGTTTCTCCCAGCTAATCAGACTGCTGAGTGGCACCACATGTAATTGACCGTGGATCTGCTCTCCCTCCTCGAGAGAGGCCATGTCCCCACCCGCCTGGCGCCCCAGCACACCCCGCACGTCACAGTGCAGCCCCCGTTGTACCAGCACTGCCTCCCACCCCCAGCCCACGATCACATGGTTTGACCCCACCAGCAGAGCAGATGGGGTAAGGGCCCTCACCCAAGGGGGGCCAACCAGAGTCTGACACCCCAAGACTGAAGGAAGCACCCCTGGGAGGGCCCGTGGCCTCTAGTGAAGCCACCACTCGGAGCAGCCGGGCCAACAACCTGAGCCTACAGTGAGCACAGGGGGACAGATGCCCGAGGAGGCTCGAGCGAAGCCGCAGTCCAGAGAAAGGACGGCGAGGAGGGGCTGTCCGCCAGCTCTGGGTCCTGGGGGAGCCGGGCCGCCTGGCGTGCTGGCCACACAAATTCCCTCTCCCTCCTAATTCCTCTCTCACTTAGCTCAATCGGAGGTCCCGGGACCCTAACAATCCCAGAGACCTGTGTCAGGGCCCCTCCAGCCCACCCCCCCAGGCCTGCGTGGAGTCCAGGGCACTGGGCACAGCTCACAGAGGGGAGCTGTCGGGGCAGGCAGCAGCGCAGGCGGGGTGGCTCCTGGGAGCCAGAGAGCGTTCGGGCTCTACTTGAGTCATGGGGTGGGGTGCTGAGGAAGGCACGGTCAAGACTGAGCTCTAGGGACAGGTGGGTGGAACGGTGTGGTGGAAGGGACCAGCGCATGGTAGGTGCTCAGCAAACCCTGCAAGGAACCGGGTAACTGCTCTTTGCCTTGCTTCCCTCATCTGGAGCGTGCAGGCAATGCTATTAAAGTAACCACAAACTCATGCATGCATTTAAAGAACTTGAAACAATTCCTGGCAAAGAGTAGGCACTCACTATGTGGTGGGCTTTTTTGTTGTTGCTGTTGTTTTACCTACACAAAATTCATCCCCCAATGCTGTTTTGAAGCCCAACCCTCCCTGTAATGGTATTAGGAGGTGAGGCCTTCAGTGCTTAGCTCATAAGGGTGGAGCCCTCATAATGGGACTGATGGCCTTATAAAAGATCCCACTGAGCTCCACTCCGAGCCCTTTCACCATGTGCGGCAGGAAGAGAAACAGCCACCCGAAAGAGGCCCTGCCTGACCAATACTGACACCTGATCTTGCACCCTGTAGCACTATTAGAAATTAAGTTCTGCTGTTCATAAATGCTCCAGTCAGTGGCATTCTTTCTAAGAGCCCAGGCCAAAGCAGCCAGCAGCCAGCAGGGTCAAAAATATAGCCTCCTCCTCCAGGCCTAGAAGCAAGGGTAGGGTGGGTGGTTTTTAGGAGACACGGTCAAGCTTCAGAGTGGCCCAGCAGAGGCGGGCAGGAGGGAGCTAGCCCCATGCTATGAATGGGAGCAGGGGAGCAGCCAGGGAGGAGGCCACAAGGAGGCAGAGAACAGCAGGGCGGGAGAAGGGCGTGGGCTAGCAGGCAGGACTGCCCCGCCACCCGGGCCACCCATCGCCATGGCTGAGAATGGAGGCTGAAGGGCCACCCCTCTGTGGCAGCAACAAACCTGGCCATCCACTCCATTGTGGGCATCACACACACATGTCCATCCAATCCTCTCCTTGTACACCCCTAAGAGGGAGGTGCCATCAATGTCTTCTTTCTCTGGATGGGGAACTGAGGCAAAGAGATGTGGGGGGTCTTGTTTGAGGGCGCACAACTAGTCAGTTTCTAGCATCCGAACTCGTAACCACAAAGATGCCAGCAGCTAAGGCAGATGTTGAAAGGAAGTGGAGCCTCTGGGTGGATCCCCCACTTGGGATTTCATGGTCTGGGGGCAGAGTTCCAGGCTCTACCTTCCCTGCTGGGTGCACCTGAGGGCTTACAGGTGTGCACTGGTGTGAGCCAAGGCTCCTCCCAGACCCCCTCCACCAGGTCTTGCTGTCTTTGGCGCTCGCTCCTGCTCCTCCTCCACCCATCCTGGAGCCTGACCCCAACATACCACCCGGGGCCAAGCACTACAGTCACCAATGCACCTTGGGCTCTCCGAGTTTCACGGAGGAGGGCGCTGAAAGGCCCCACCTGGGAAAGCAGGAGCCCAACCAGTCCTTCTGTAACAGAACTTTCCCCTGCCTTAAACTCCATGCCCCATCACCCAAATCCTTACCTGCTCCTAACCCACCAGGCCACCAGCCCCATTCCCACTCCAAGCCCTGGCTCGGCTCTCTCTGCCCTACCTGAAGCCCCCTTTAGCATCCGAGCAGCAAACTTCTGCACGAGATGCTCCATCAAGCTTCCCCATCCTCCAGGTGACCCTCCTCCATGCTCCCAGCTTCCCCATCACTGCACCCATCAAATACTGCTGCCCAGCTCCCCAGGGAAGGCCAGGCTCAGTTCAGTGTACCTGCAAGCCCTCCCCCAGTGCAAAGCCAGGTGACAGCAGCTGCATGAATGAGGACTCATTGTTTACATTACAACTGGTGCGTAGTCTGCGCACCCTGGAGGTGAAGCTGCCCGTGGTGCTCCCTGTACCCTCCTGTCCTGTGCCGGCTCCCCTGAACGGCCCCACTAGCCTCCTTGGGCATCTTACAGGGTCAGGGCAGTGACCCTCACTCTGGACTCCACTTCTCATCCAGAAGGGAGACGTGGGGCATCAGAGGTTGGGGAAGGCACCCCTAGATGTGTGGTTGCTCCCAAAGGTCCCCCCTCTGCCCATCCTTCCTGGGGTGGGGCTGAGGCCTGCGTGGCAGTGCCCCTTGGGCACCCGCCCCACCCAGGCCCCGCCTGAAGCGCTGGATCCGGCGGGCCCAGGAGGCCCAGCGAAGCATCCTTGGAGGCCGCAGCCCCTCCCTATGGGGAGGGCAGAAAATCTGCTGCCTCACCAGCCACCAGCGCCAGCTTGGGGGGGCAACCCTGAGGGAAAACGCCCGTTCCCCGTCTCCCTTCAACCCCTCAGCCACGTACTTCTACCAAGTTTTGCAAAGGGCACTGGCCTGGCGACTTCGGCCGGCGGGGCAGGGGCTGAGCGTTCTCCAAGACCCGGGTCTGGAGTGGGGTCCGGGTGGCCGCGCCCACCAGATTGTGCCCCCGGGTATGAGTCCAGGGAGCCCCGCGACGCGCCCAGGCGCGCTGCCCGCGGGAGGGATCGGCTGGTCCCAGCAGACGCGCAGGAGCCTCGCCTCTGGTGGGGACACGGAGGGTGCTGGCGACCCCGCACCAAGGGACCGGCCGCGGGAGAAGCGCTCCCCGACCCCGGCAGCGCGCCCCTTCACCTGCAGGCGCGCAAGTTGGGGTGCAGCCGAGGCCCGGCTCCCGCTCACGCCCACCGCCCGGCTCCGACCCCCGGCCTCTCCCACGCCCCGACAATACCTCCCAGCCCGCCGCCCCGATTCCGACCAGGCCGGGGCGGCCGCCGCCTCCCGCATCCCTCGGTCCTTTGTTGCCCAGCGAGCCCCCTCCCCCGGGCCCCCCGGCTGCGCCTACCTTCGCCCCTCCAGCATCAGGCGGAGCGGCGGGACGCCGGGCGCCCGGCCTCCTCCTCTCCCGGCCCGGCGCCGCGGGGAGAGGATGCTCAGCCCCCTCCCCGGCGCCGCTTCTCACTTAGCTCAATCGGAGGTCCCGGGACCCT